GAGCTGAGTTCATCACACACATACAAATACACAGATGTGCACACATATACACACACATGCACACACTAGTATCGCCATGAGACATAACCCATATGTCAAAAACAGCACTGAAAACAAGTTAGTACCCACAAAGTCACTGGTGAACTTGGGAATTTCCATACTTAGCTGTTCTTAATCCCTCTGCAGTTACACCATTTCACACACACACACACACACACACACACACACACACACACAACCACACTATGCCTTCATTAGATATTTAAATATTACTTTACTTTTTCTATGTAAGTAAAATATCAAGATTTCCCTTAATATTACTGCTCAATAATGTTTAAAATATATGGTAAACTTTGAGAACACTAAGCCACATATGCTATATTAAAAATAACATCAAATCTCTCCAGAACTCATAACTATACATTTTTTGCATAGACATTTATAACTAGAATTTGTGATACTGAATTATTCACATTTGAGGTTTTTGATGCAACACAGATACATTTGAGGTTTTGAATAACATTTGACTTAGGGCCAAAACCATATGATTTCTTGGTTTATGCTCTTTCTTGCCTATCAATTCATTTAAAATATATTTAATGACCTCAAAACTTGCAGCAGGTGCCAGCTAATATAACTCCTAAGGGAACTGTAATTATACAAATGAAGTATGAAATATCAACTATGAATTTCCCAAAGTCCTAGAAGTTATGGAGTTGGACATAGAACTAACCAAGCATGATGCTGTAAATTGCCTGTACCTTTCCCCTTTTTCTGGTCCTCCTCCTTCCATCCACCTCCTTTTTCTTACATTAATTAATCAAAATAGGATTTTTAACGTGCTTGCAAATCCTGTATTTTACATATAAGTTTTGCCATTTTGAAATACAATATATAATATACTATATAAACAGAGAAATAAGATAAAAAAATTTGCAGACTGTAATCAATCTAGTTTTTCTAAAAGTTATCACATCTAATGTTTGCCCTGATATTTTCAAGCACTGTTCATCACAAAAGCATCCCTCTTCTGAATTTATAAGGAAAGAATATACACTGTCCTTTCTCACCACAACAGAAAAGCCCAGTATTCCCAATGCCCATTATGCTTTATTTTGTATATAAGTGGTTTTAAGCATTGGCTTGTGTTTTGGACTTCCTTGTTTCTAAATCCCCCAAGGAAAGATTCAAGACATGATTCCACAAAAGCAGCCATTGAAAACAGTAAAGCCCATTATTTCCCCTCCTACTGCTGGCCAAGGTCAGCATCCCTATCATTAGCCATGGCATAACATAATTGTATTACTACTCCTCCTGTGGGCAGATATTAAGCAATAACCGCACACGTCACATCACTGTGAAAATGAAAAGTGCCACATTTTTATCCCATTTTAGCACAAAATCAGTGAAAACAATCTTTAGAAATGACACTGCACTAAGAAACTGAAAGGAGTTGTTATTACTTTGTAGGTATATATTTAAACTGAGGATTTGATATCTGTAACTAGAAAAAAATAGAAGTATATGTTACTCCTTAACTCCAATTGCAAGCTCATTTAATCCAATCTTTTGGTAGCTTTCAGTTCAATTAAAGGATGCAATGTTACTTAAAATAGTCTAATTAGATGTAACTCGGGCACCCATCTTTCAATGTCTGTGATACAACTAGGCTTTCAAGTTGTAAGAAGTGAATAGCATTCCCTCCAGCCTACATGTCTGGCCAGTCTCAGAGCCATGTTTCTGTTTCAGGGCTGACCTATACAGCATCGCCCCCCAGCCAGCAGTTCCGGTATTTGGAAACTAACATACTTGCCACAGCCAGCATCACTCACATTGGTACTACAATGGACTGCGTGAAGGCAGGTCAGTTTGCATAGATGGTCTGGTGCGTGCATAATGTAACGTGGTCTTCCAGTACAGCACTGATTAGACTGTTCCCCAATTGCCTGCTAGACAGTTTATTACCTGAAAATTGTAAGTGGGGATTTGCAATCCTATACAGCAGCAGCACTGGAAAGTGTTAAAAGAGTAACACAATCACAATTTAGTTTAGGAAAGCTGTGGGAAGAGGGTATTCGTTTTCTCTATTAGGGTCTCTTCTGACATTGAAAAAATGTCACTGCAGAAACTACAGTTACAGTTTCATGTCACTAAAGCTCAGAAGGATACTGGTTCCTCTGGGATTCAGCACAGCAACTTTAAATAGTGAACTGTTGACAGGTTTAAAACAAAGGTAATTAGTAATTCTGATCTTATCACCCTGTTAAAACAAATAACCTGATAAAATGATGGTTATTTATAATTAACTACATATTCTTTACACTTCAGAGAAGACATGGTTTATTTCGCAGTCCTATCTCTAGTGCAAAGTCTGAGTCAACTTTTTTTTAAATAAATGTAGACACAGATTTCTTTCTTTACCTCCTCCAGAATTGTGTCTTCCATATTTCCACAAATCCACTTCAGTCATCACAAAAATGAATGCTATCTTACTAAATTCTAAGCAACAGACATATACCAGCATATCCATGACAGAGTAGACAGCTCAAGTGCCTGGGCTTTGTAGGGCCTTGAAACCTACTCAGTACATTTAATATAATCAGGGATCAGTGACAAATATATTTGATGGCCTGCTACACAAGGATGGGCAGGAGCGGGCGTCCCTGGAGAAACATTTCCATGGAGTCTTTTCCTGCTATTAGAAACATGTCTTATGACTTTGCATTTTTAAAAATCCATTATTCCCGGGGCAAGTTAAATAGAAGACTTGCAACTAGTCTATAGAAAGGGTGGCTAATTTGCATTTAAAAGGAACAGTTTGCTTCTTACACAGGGTGACTTAAAAGGAACTTCAATGATCTGGTAAAGAAATACTGAAGACTTTCAAAATTAATTTATTCAATTCACAGCACAACCTATTAAAATTATTTAAAGCACTTAATTGGAAAATGATTTAATATATTGAAGTAATTCCTGATTTTCCAAAGCATTTAACTTTTGACTTAAATCTGACCCTACTATGGCAAGAGTGGCAAGTGAAATGTGTATCCAAGTCATTACTTTCTTTTTGAAGCCTAAAATCACTGATAAATTTAATAAGATTTGTCCAGTTTCATTGCCAAAATGGTTCTGATCTTTTGGTTCCAGTAACTATTGTGGAACTATGTCTTTAATCACCAAGAGAGAGATGCCACTTTATTATTTTCTATTAGCAGTGTTCTTGTTAAAAGCAAAATAAAAGGCAACAAACACAATACTCATATTTAAAGACAAAACAGATTTCAGACTAAAAGAACTGTTAATGGCAAACAATGAAACTTCATCATACAAACTTCTCTGCCTTTACCAAAGTTCCCACCGCCTTTCAACTTGTCCTTCTCTAAGAGTTCCCAGTGGAAAACCCTGTCTGCCTTGCCCAAGATGCAGACATCCCTTTCTTCTAACACAGCCCATGGAATGAGGCGTCCACTGGACACAGCACCAGGGGCTTCTCCACGAAGTGATGCCTGCAGTTCACGTCACTCACAGCCGTGTGTGTGTGTGTGTGTGTGTGTGTGTGTGTGTGTGTGTGTCCCAACTGACCAAGACTGATCTGCCAGCAGTCTGGTGGTGAAGAACACCAGGAGCAGAGAACGAGGCCACTGAACACCCCGTATCACGTTAAAAAGCTGTTTGGTGAGGACTCGTCTCCGAGCAAATGGGAGTCCCAGGGATGTTTCCCGTGGAATTCGCCCAGGGGTCGATGCGCTAGTGCCTGTGGGGGCTGCGAGAATCGACGGGTTTATCACAGCCCACAGCTGGGTGTCCAAAGAGCCCGCCCGCGTTTCGGGAAACAGCATTCTCCAGCCGCCCTGTGCGTGGCGGGATTGCGAGACTCGTCCCACCGGCGGGGCAGGACAGCTCTGTCCTCGGGGATCCGATCCCGCGAGTTCTAACGCCCTTAGAGTTCTGCAAGCCTGCAGAGTAACCCTTCCCCAGGGCACCTATCTATGTCCGAAGCACCTCCAGCCGGCGCCCCCACCCCGAGTCACCAGCCTGGCCCTGGTCCCCAACACCTTGTTACAACCCAGCCAGGTCCCAGTTGGATCCCGGTGCTGAGCTCAGGAGCTTTGGATTTGAACGCCACGCACTCGTCCGGCTTTCAACAAACTTGTAATTTCCACGCACCCCAACGCCCAAAAAACCGGAGAGCTGTCCCCCAAATCACAATTCGGCTAGCCCTCTCAACCCTGGCCTGCCCTCGGGACTTGACTCTCCGAAGCGGATTGGAAAACCAAGAGTTGCAGAACAATTTTCACGGGGGTGGGGGAGGAGCGCCTCCGGGGTCCCTAAACCCCAACTCCCGACTCCGGGCTGCTCCTCTGGCAACTAATCCTGGGCGGGGAAGCGATGCCACGAGCTCCCGCTGCCCGAGACAGCGAGGCAGGGCGAAAAAGGAACCGGGAAATAAGCTCATTTCTCTTTGCCTCCGCTCCCGGACCCCAGACACACCCCTAAAGTATTCCTCGGTTTTTCCTCTTTTTTTTTTTTTTTTTTTTTAACGCCCCCCGGCAAGCCCAGGCAGGGATCCTTAGTCTCGAGCCGCAGGAAGGAAAGAATCCGAGCAAATCGTGTCACTTTCCGCACAATCACGGCGTCTGGCAAGCCCCCGAGCTGCTCCATATCTCCTACCCCAGCGCTCGCAGGGCTGGCTGCAGAGGGCTGCGAGCCGAGCGCGCCCGGGACCTGCCTGAGCCGAGCGGCCGGCTCTGTCCAGCCGGCCGGCCGCCGCCGCCCCCCTCCCGGGATCACGCAGTCAGAACCGATGGAAACAAAAGCAGAGCGTTCACCTTGTTGCAATAGTAGGGGTCCAGGCAGGGAGAAGGTCCCAGACAGGGAGCGTCGGGCGCAGCGGCAGGCTGGGCTGGAGGTGGATAAAATCTTACGTCCATTTCACTCTCACATCAAGCAACTCCTTTTCTAGTCCCTTATTTTTTTCTTTAAAAAAAAAAAAAAAAAGTATGGAGCAAAACAAGCTTAGACTCAACGGAGCGAGGTGTCTGCGCTCAGGAGTAAAAGAAACACCTTCCTTCCCTCACATCCGTTTGTGGTTTGTTTAAGAAGAAGAGGAGAAAAAAAGAGAGAGAGAAAAGAAAAAAAAAAAAAAAAAGAGGGGGGAAAAGCGCTCAACTCTGCCCGAGCCGCGGCGCGCACCCGTCGGCGCCGAGCGCGCAGCCCGCTCCGCCGCCGCCTCTCCGCCCCGCCGCCTCTCGGCCCCGCCGCCGCCGCCGCCGCCGCCGGGCAGGTAACTTCACGCGCTCATTGTGCCCCCGCCCGCACCCCCATCCCCGCCTCCGCGCCCCTCGCCGCCGGCGCGCGCTCGGCTCCGGGTCCGGGGCGCCTTACTGGAGACCCCGGTGGCTCTGGGTTTAGTTTATTTCCTCCACCTTGGAGCCCGGGACGGGGAGGGGATCGAGGGGACCGGACGGGAGGGGGCGCGCGCCGGGCCGGCGGGGTGGGCAGCGCCGCGGGACCCGCGCCCCGTGGGCTCGGGGGCTGCAGCTGGGCCGAGGCTGAAGGCGGGCGTAGGGGAGGTAGAGGAGGAAGCTCGCCGGGCGGCCACGGCGCCGGGCGCCGGGAGGACCGAGCGGGCCGAGCCGCGCTGCTCAGGGCAGGGAGGCTCACACAAAGGGGCGGCGAGCCCGGGCTCCGCGGCCTGGGCGCCGCGGGGAGCGCAGCGAGGGGGCGCTGTGGGGCGCACCCGGCCCGCGGCCCCGCGGCCCCGCCCCGGCCCGGCCGGGCCACCGCACCCCGCCCCACTCCGCGCGCGTCCCCACGCCGGCCCGCGCTGCCCGCTCTCCTCTCTGTCCCCCCACCGCTGTCCCGAGCGCCCCGGGCCCACACCCTCCACTCCTCGGTGCGCGCGGCAGCCGTGACTTTTCTGCGCCGCGCGACCCCTGTGCGCACCGGAGTGAGCCTTGTCCGCGCGCGCTCAGGCCGAGCCTCGAACCGGCGGGGAGAGCGGGTCCCCGGCCCGGCCCGCCTCGCTGTCACCCTCGCCCCTCGGGAGAATGTGGGGAGGCTGAGGCTCCCTTGGGGACTACAGAGTCCGGGGGAGTGAGTGATTCCCAGGGTGATAAGGAAGCGGTGATCAAGGTCGGGCTAGGGGGAACACTTGGGACATTACCACTGCACGCCTAGTAGTGCTCTTGGCGGTGCCAGGAAGACCTGGAGTCCGCCTCCCCGCTTCTCAGGTTGGCAGATGGGGTGTCCACATCACCAGTGAGGTTTTGTCCTTTTGATTCCCCTAACCTGCAAACTTGGAACTTCGTTTATCTGGATGGCTGAGACAGCCAGGGCACATTTAGCCCCTCCCCTCCTCACCCCCTTCCTACGGGAATTGCAAGCAGGAGTGGGAGGTATTTACTTTCTCAGGAGTGAGAAGCCACACACAGGCACAGAGGAGCCCAGGAGCCGGGAAGGATCTAGGAAGTTATACATTTCCACACCTGGCCTCAAAGAAGAGGCTGAGAACTTTGGACTGCTCTGCGCCTGCTCCCTTTTAGTACATGGTGACTGCCAGTGGCAGTGTACCTTTTCCTGGCCTTGTGTCCAAACGGCGGTTAAGTATAAGCAGAAAGATCTGGAAGTCACTACAAAATATAATAAAATGAGCATTTCGGGACGTCTCCTGTACGCAGAATTGCTCTGGAAACCTGTAATGTATTGCTTTGCAACCTGACCGTCCTCTCTTACCTGGAGCCATTGTTTCCTTCTGGTCAGTATTTCTGTAAGTAGCAAAGACGTAAGCTTTCTCCTTACCATCAAGAATAACACGATGGAGGTAGGGTTGGGAAGAAGGAAAAAAAATTCCTCTACACATTCAGAAAGCCCTGAAAGCACAAAATGAAAGTAAGGAGTAGAAAATATGATCTTCTTCCTATAAGCTCTTTAAAATGTGTGTGAAATTTTGTGGTTTATAACTTCAGCTTTCAAAATTCAGTTGTAGACGCTAAAATGTGTTTATATGTATCTCTAAATTCAATGACAGCAATAAAAGCTATTAGGTTTAAAGGATATGGATGCCAAGCTTAAATTTCTATCTTGTATCCAGTAGTCATTACCAATATGTTACATAATTCAAAAACTTGATTTTTTAAAAACCTTTCGTAGGACCCATATTGATTTCTGTTTGACAACCCTGTGAATTTGCGGAGAATGAAACACAATGGTTCAGGACTGGAATCATACTGTCAACCTCTTGACACCTGAAGAGGGTGATACTCGCCATTCTCAAAGCATGCGGCTTCTGTATCCCTCCGATTCCTAACCTAAGGCCTGGTTTCTACAGTGTGGTGTCCTTGTGGTGTGTTAGTGTTTGCATGCTGAAGAGATGACCCGTTGAAAACCAAAAGCTCATAACTCCAATTACTTGTGCAATACAAGTGGATAAATACTCTTGTAATAGTGCCCCGCCCTATGCCTATCATATTCCACTGAATAAATCTCAATTTAGAAACTAAAGAGGCATTTTATTATGTTTGAATTTGTAGGACCTTCAGCTGCATATCCTAAGTTGATTCATTTAATTGTTTATTCCCTGTATTTTACACACTGAAGACACAAAGGACCGGAAAAAAAACACGGATGTGATATACTGTGCGTAAGTATGAAATATAAAAAAATTCCTTAAGATGGTTCTTGCTCTAGATGAGTTTAGAGCTGTGCTGTTATGTTGTGTGTCCCCTCACAGGGGACACTGAGAATCCCCCTAGCCAGGATGCCCTCATTTCCTTTGCCTTTTCAGTGATGGAGTTTAGCAGTTTGCCTGGGTTTTCTTTACAAGCATGAATAAATTGTTTTATACATCTGGTTTATGATTTATTCAACTGAACCAGAAAGGTCATATGTTTTAATTAGCAGAAAATGTGTGTTCTTGAAAAAATTATCTCCTTACTAATATTGATATAATGATATCACTACCTACAATTTGCTAGTTGCCTACTATGTCTTAGATCTGGCCCTAGCATCAGGTCTAATTTACATTTAATTTCATTATCTCATGTAACTTTATACATTGTGCTGGGAAGCCTAACCAGTAATGGCAAAGTTCACTCAACATTTGATTGCATTTCCTTAGCATCCTCCGTGTTCATTTTCATCACAGTTTCATAAATTGTTGTGTTTGCAAATTTGCGTTGTTTTCAATGACCACATTTCATGTTTACTGATTATGTTACATAGGTAAGTCCTGAATCATGTAGTATCATCTCCAAATCATGCAGATAGACTGTGTTGTTTTGGGGAAAATTTATAAGAATAAGACATCATTTATACAGAGGGACTAGTTTTGAAATACCAGATTTTAAAACTAAAATCAAAGCATGCCATATTGAAAACCAAATTCAAACTCATTCTTATGGTGGCGTCTTCTGACTTAAAACAGTATTTCAGCAATAGCTTTTGTCACAAGTTCCTGTTAGAAGAAAGTTTCAGTCTTGCCATGGGTAATGGTGCACAACTGTAATCCCAGCACTTGAGAGGCCAAGGCAGTGGGATCATAGCAAGTTTAAGATCAGCCTGTGTTACACAGTGCGTTGAAGTCCAGTCAGAACTACATACTGTCTTCAAAAAACTTTAAGTTAAATTAAAAAGCCTCATTTTTTAAAAAGCTCCATTCTTTTTGCATTTCATAAAGATCAACTTGTGTTATAAAGCATCTTGTTGTATATGTGCATTATGTATATTCAGATTTACCGTCTTATTCAGGTTATAGGGGGAAATAGTTTGATTTGTTTTCTTGATCCTAATCAAGACTGAGTCCTACGTAATTTAAAAACTCAAAACACATCACTAAGGGTTTTTATGGGAAATGTTTGCATTTTCTAAATTTACCACTTGTAACCTACTGTTGTCTAGGATTATTTAATGTTTTCAGAAGTAATTTAAATGTAAAATAGAATGATACACAGTAAGTAATATCCTGCAATAGAAGAACACAGAGCATTGAAGTTTGTTTCCTGGGGAACCTAGTGGGGACTGACTACATTGTAAGTTTTTCAACCATAAAATAAAGGATCTCAGAATGATGAGGAAAGTTTGGAGGAAATGACACTGGGCCCACAGATACTTCACATGGTACTAAATGACTCATAAAATGCAGTATTTTTACATAATATGGGAAATGTGCCATGCTTTACATCTCACCGTTGAGTGTGGTACAGTACTTTGATCTTCATCAATATACAACGTTTGTGGTATAATAGCTGTATTAGGACTATTCAGCTATTTTACATGGCAGTAATCTAGTCCTCTCATCAGGATAAACTGCGAGGATAAGTCCTTTCAAATCAGAATTAGTTCCTTGTAGAAGAATGAGGCTACAATTATCCCTTAAACAGGAGCAGCTGCAACACAGTCTTGGCCTGGAGAGCAGCAGCAGAGTGTTTTTCCAATGTAATTAAATGAATTTTTTAATGCAAACTAATATTCTATAAAAAGTCAATTGGAAGGTGAGTAGGTGTGAAATTGCTGTGATGAAAGGAGCAATCATTTTACTTACCTGAGTTAATATTCCTGCCTGAGTAAAGGCTGTTTTGGTGAAAACGGATAGTCAAGCTCATATTTCTCCTTGAAGTGGGCCCCAAAATGTAACCAGAGTAATACAAAGCAAAGATAATTTTAGTGTATTTGTACATTCTACATCTTATCTTGAAATGCATTCAAAGCACGAAATAACATGCTTTGTTATTGTTGTTTTTCAGAAAGCTCTGATGAGTCAACAGCGATATTTCAATTTAAACAGGAAAGGTATTACTTGGATAGAAAAATAGAAAGATACTTATGCTTGTCAGTGTTTACATCCAGAGGCAAAATTTTAGGCACTTTTCCCCCACTAACATGATTAAAGGATGTTAATATGAGATCTTTAGGCAAGATGAAAGGACACATCCAAAGAGGGTACTACTGGAAGACAATGTAATGTCTTCACAGGAGAGAGCTGTAAACGGACCAAGGGATGTGATAATTTTGGAGAATTTTGTCACACCTGAGAAAAATTATTCCCAATGTGTCTTAAATGTGTGGACAAAGAAGAAATGGGGGCTCTTCATGGGACTGATTTAAAATCTCCAAAACTAAAGGAAGTTTGTCAGGTCACCTGTGCACCCACTGTACCCTTCGTGAAATATGTCTTCCTTATGTAAGATCAATGGACAATGGATTTGAACTTAGCTTGAATCGTCCAAATGGGCTTCTGTGCTCACAAGTTTGGGATGCCCTGCAGTGACGATCATCCAGATGACAAATCAAAGAGTCTCTTACAGCTCTTTGAAGTCTAAAAGTGCTTTTTAAAATATTAGGTCTTATGCCTTAATGTTTTCAAGGACTTCGATTACTCCCCATGTCAATGCAGACACATAAAGTATAAATCTGATTTTGCAGGCAACACTTAAGATGGAGCATATAACAAGAGACAAAAATATTCCCTTTTTAGAATATTACTGTTGTAAAAGAATAGCATGAGAGGAATGGTGTTTTAGGATATCTCAATACCAAAGCTTAAAGATAGGAAATCCTCCAGCCTGGGTATCGCACATTTTAATGTGCAGCCTTCTACTTTCTAAACCAAAGGCCAATTTTAGGACATGAGGAGATTCTGACTGGCCCCCTTTCATGACATTTTCCAAGCTTGATTAGGTAGTAGGATGGTCTTCCCTCCAGCTACCAGTCTCCCCCAAGTATAGTTTCCTTCTGCTAAGAAGATGTAAATGAGGTCTTGGAGATGGGCCTCTCTTGGTGAGATTAGTGCCCTCATTAGAACAGAATGAGGAATCTTGTCATCTCTTAACTCTCAACACATGAAGAGCGCTCGCCTTTTCCGTGTCCATCACATACCTTCCCTCCCTTTCCTCAACAAGAGCAACTTTTTATACTACCTCTTCTTGCAGATACAGTCCTACAACTTTCTATCCTGTGTGACAAAGTTTCTTTAAAAATTCTCTTTTGCCTCACTCATTTATACTCTAACATATATAGCACTCTGGTGTTCTCCTGGGTTATTTTCTATTGAATCTGTTCTAAGACTGCCACTGAGTTCAAGACTGTCAGTTTCGCTGACCGCTCTCTTTTTTTTTCTCCTTGCTTGAATTTCTTTGATCTTTACAAGTTGGTTCCCCAGGAGCATGTGAAGCTTCTGAGTGAAGAGATGCTACTTCCCTTGTCCTGGTGGTCAGCAAGCTGGGAAGCACCTGCGTGAAGAGAAAACACAAATGGAAAACACAGCCCAAAAAAGCAGAGAGAACGGGAGCTGTCAGGAGAGTAGCGTCAGAGATCACAAAGGAAGATTCACCCCAGGAGATGGGTAGACATTATTCTTCTCTTCATGCAGTTGGTGGTCTGTTTAACAAATACTACTTGAGTATTTGCACCATGCTGGTCACAGGGACAGACTCTGAGTCCACAAAAGCTCCAGGTCGTCTGCTGCAAAGCTTCAACTGTAGCTCATTTGGTCTCACTTTCAACTCTGTGTCCTTTTGCTGTTTTCAGAATCACAGATTCCTATTTCCAATTGTCTACCAATGATACCTGGCTGTATTTCTGCAGGTCCTCAAACTCAGCATATACCCACCAATTTAAATAAACACAATGTATCTATAAATCATTTTCCCTTGGAATACATATGTCATGTAACAGTCATGTTTAATATTCTGCTGTGACAATTAACCTTAGTTCTCTTCCTGTTTGAACTCTCCTCTGGACAATTGCTAGAGCATCCCATTGTGTGTCTTCTCTGCTGATTCAGATTTACAAATACACTATGTCTATGTTATTGAAGATACCTGGAGCACACTAGTATCTTGACTAAATATCTCCAAGAGCTTTCTAAAAACCCCAGTACACCAAACTATTGATGGTCCTGACAATTCCTTCATGTACTTGCATTGTTTTCATGCATTTGCAGCTAATGTTACCACTGTCCAAGAAGAACTTCCCCACCACTCTGTGTGTATGTATCATCCTGTTACCTTCAGATCAAACACAGTATTATCCCTCAGTGCATAATAGAGGGTGTCACATACACACCCCTTTTCTACTGTAAATTTTTATGTTAGCATAATAGCAGCTGATCCTGTGTCTCTGTACTTTTCTCTGAGGGATACAGGAAGCAATCTATGTTTTTATCCACTTGCTATGATGGAAGGCAAGGTGTGTATATGCATACAAAATTGTCAAACTGGGATTTACATCCATATTGTGCTCCATGGAGTAGTTTTTGTGTATGTTTACCAGAGCATTATAGAGGATATAATACATCCACATCACTATAGGATTTGTTTTATAAAAAATTTTTTTGATATTCTGGTAGAAGTAGCCCAGTTCAGTACAATGGCACATGAAAAACCAGATTTGCAAGTTTTAGAGTAGGTCAAAAGTGAATCACCAGATTACTCATGCATGGATGATGATGATCCATTATGATAAAACACGCTTTCATAACAGAACTGTGGTGTCGTTGGATGATGATGGTGATGGTGATGATAATTATGACTTTGATGCTGGCAATATGAGCCAACATTTCTGTGATAATGAAATGAAGCAAGAATAGACTGATACAGACAAAAGGAAGTATACCACCTTGATTCAGATAACAAAGAAAACAATGTGAGTACATGTTTGATAGTTGCAATGTTGCAAAATGGTCATGCAACTAAAAGGTACAAGCCAATATTAGAAGTTGGCCTAAAAATATAGTAAAGGTTTTGGCAGGAGTGAAATGTATTAGACAGAATGCCAGGACTGCTGTTCGGTGTTGGGAATTGTAATGGATGAAATGCTACAAGATGCTGTGAATACAATAAAACATTCTGTAACACCATAGCCATATTCAAAAACATATTTATTATGACACCTTACTAGCTGAATGGAAACACTCACAGATCTGCTTGTACTTAGCAGGGCTTTCTCATGGTGATCGCAGGAATATAAAAGACTTATGTAAGTGTTGGGTCAACATATGGTGTAAAAGCTTATGCCCTTGTAGATATGGAGACTTACTATGCTTTCGATTTGGAAATTTATCCTGGAAGTCAGCCATCAATGCCTTATTTGTACAATAATATACTAAATGATGTTGTAAACAGATTTTTGCTCCCATTTTCAAAGATAATTCAGAATGTGACGTTTGACAACCAACTGGTTTACCAGTTTCCAGTCCTAACAGGGCACAGGTTGACCAGCATAGGAACTGTACACAAGACCAAAACAGAAATTCAAAATGAAATGTCACAATTAAAAAACGGAGAATTGTATAGCATAATGTATGGATTTCAGAAAAATTTACATTGGCCCCCTATGTGGCAAACAAAACAAACTGGTACTGCTGATGTGAACATTGCATCATGATGGAAATATTTGTGAGGAAATCTTGACAAAACAAAAACCCTAAATGGAAACTTTTCTCAACCAAACCAAACACAGAGTAGATGTTGTTGATGAATTATGCAGCTACTATTATGTCACTTGAAACACAAAGCACTGGTCAGTGGTTGTGCTTTCCTCAATCCTAAACAAGTGTGGCATAGTCTGATAGTTTACAAAGAAAATACAAGTGCAAAATACCACAGAGAAATTTTCTTAGAGTATTGGAACCCATAAGAGATAATTTTTAGCAGAGGAAAAACACAATGTTTCAGCCCAGGGAAGTACACAAACAATTGTGACCTCACTGGTGAGCTAACAGAAGAACAGGCAGGTGCAGTGTCCCAAAGACAGACTATGACAACAGAAAAGCCAAATTGATGTCAACTGTGCCCTACAAGAAAGGAGAGGAAAATGAGACATATATTCTATCAGTGTAAGTGATACTTGTGCATGGAACATGCAACCTTCATGTGTGAAATCTGCCTTGGTGTGACAATTGAAGCCAATATTATTTTTGTTGGAGAGTTCTTTTGATATTTTCATTTTAGTTCACATAGGTTTTTATTTCTGATGTTATCTCTTAGGTTTTGTAAGCAAGTAAATAGTTGACATGAAAAATGATGTCTATTCTAAGAACTCATTACACATTGTTGGATACTTTATTGATATATTATTTGCCTGGTATGTGCTTGCTGTACAACATAGTAGGAGGCACCAGACAAAAAGAAGAGAATGGAAGTGAGGAGAATGACCTGCCACACAGGAAAGGAAAGAAAGGCACATGTGCTGTCTGTGAAAGTGAGACATGTGCATGGAATATCCAGTGTCATGTGTGAAGACTGCCTGGGTCTGACTGCAAGCGCACATTGTTTCTGTGGTAGGCTCTTGCTTGTGTTCACATTACTGCTCAAATAGATTTTTATTTCTGATGTTCTTTGTTAGGTTTTGTAAGCAATTATACAGCTGATTGGAAAATGTTGGTTTATTCTAAGCACTCAATACACATTTGGTGTTTTGTCTTATTGGCATCTTATTTTCTGATTATTTAGTTGTGATAATTGAAGTAAAGTGTTCTTTTTTTTTTCTTTTTCACAGCAATGCTTTTCTTTTTTTTTTTCTTTTGAAGAAAATAAAACCAAATAAAAAACAAAATGGGGTCAGTCAAAATAAAAAGATGGACATAGTACATGACTTAAAACCAAAATACAAGGTGATCTACAATGGTTATCACGATGTCTCTTGTTATCTTCAATAGCATTCCCCATATCATCAGGCAAAATGAAATTGAACATAGCAGTACAGAACAAAATCAATAAAAAACAACATTGGAGACATTCTAGAACTTCAAAAGAAGGTAATAGTCAAACCAGAATGGGAATCATAGAGAATCGTATTGTCTTCAGAGTAGTTGTCTATACGCTCAGACTTGATACTATCAAACAACAGATTCGAATAAAATCAGCCAAAACAAGACAGTGAAAGCAATACAGGACGTCAGATTAAGTTCAGAGGAAATTAGAAATGATTACAATAGTATGTCCTGCTGTCTTTGGAATAGCTGTCCATGCCATCGAATCTAGTATAAGAAGACAAACTAGAACCGAATATAACCAAACTAAACAGAGCAATGAAAGCAATATGGGTTTCAAATCATGATACAAGATTAACAGTGTCCTCTGCCTTGCCTATTTAGACAGTTCCTCCCCTTTCACTTTCACAGGGTGCATTGTACATTTTGTATCCCACTAACTCCTTTAGTTTTTAGATTAGGGAGACAACCTGCTATTTACCTAAGTGGTTCTGAATGTTTTTACCCCTGAGCTTGATCTCAAGTTGTATCCATTTACCTACAAGAACCTCAAGGTTTTCCTTCCTTATAGTTGAGTAATTCTCCTTTGTATAAAAGTGTTATGTCTTTCCAACCAATCTGCAGCTGAAGGGCGAGCTACCCCCACTTTTTTCTGGTTTCCTGTCACATAGAGCATTATTTTCTCATCTTTGATTTCAATCTATAAACCCTCTTTTAGGTTAATTATATTTCTTATATACATTATCTTGATGGGCCCTATCTCCTGATGTACTCTGCCTGTGTTTCTTTTTATTAGTGTATCAAGGCCATCTATGTTAGTGATTACTGCCAAACTTCTCTGCCTCATCTCTGCCATGCTATTTTTCTGCCATTGGTTATCTATTTTTCCCCTTCATTCCATTGTCTGCCCCATTCAGTGAGCCTCCTCTGCCACAGTTCCTGAAGCTATGATCTTTTTTCTTTCTCTCTAGGATGTCCTTCAGTATTTTTTGTAGGGTTGAATTGGTGGTCATGAACTCCTCCAGTTCCTCTTTGTCCTGGAAGCATCTTGTTTCTCCATTAATTTTGAGAGATAGTTTTGCAGGATACATCATTCTGAATTGGACGTTATTTTCTTTCGGGGCTTGGAATATTTCACTCCAAGCTCTTCTTGATTTGATGGTTTGTGTTGAGAAGTTGGTTAGTTGTGATGGAATTTCCTATATAGCTGATCTGTTTCTTTTCTCTGACAGCTTTTAATATTCTGTTCTGTTGAATTTCTGGGATCTTTATTATATGTCTGGGTGTAGATCTGTTTTGGTTATAGCTGGCTGGAGTTCTGTATGCATCATATATCTGAATATCATTTCATTTTCTTATGCTTGGGAATTTTTCTTTAATTATTTCTGTAAATAGCCTTTGTATTTCATTTGTGTTTACCCTTGCTTATTCACTCACATTTTTTATTCTTAAGTTATAGATCCTCTTGTCATCTTCTAGCCTTTGTATTGTTACTTCCTGGTTCCTTGTTATTTTTGTGATTTCCTTTTATGATCACAAGTTGCAAACATGTCTTCAAGGTTTGATAGTCTATCTTTAGTTTCTTTCAAGCAGTTTTGCCAGCTTTCAATGGAGTTTTTGATTTCCTGGTAATCTCTTTGAATCTGTTTCATGTATTCTAGATTTTTAAAAATATTCTTCATCGAAGGTTTCTCTCCTTTTTCTGTGCTCCTCCCTTCTTCCATCTGTGTCGTCTTGAGATGTGCTTAGCATTTCTTTTATTATTTTTCTTATATCTTCCTTTATTTGTATTAGTATTTCTGTTTTAAGTTCTTTTATAATTTCACAAAGATATTTCTTTATGTCAGATGCTGTTTCTTCAGAAACTGCAGGTGTGAAACTCCTGATCTCTCCTGTGTTTATCTCCTTGGACCAGTACTACTTGGATTGGAGGCTGGAGACTTCCTTTTGTTTCTTACTATTGTCATTTTTCTGGTTTCTTCCAGACAAGTGGATAGTGGGGTCCCCGGCATTTCCTGTATTGGTTACAATTACTCTGAAGCATGCTGGCTCGGGATTGCTGCCCTCCTCAGTCTGTTGGTGACTACTGGAGTACAGGAAGGGGTGAGGCAGGCTGGCCCCTCCCTTCTTAGCTGGTCAACCACTGGCAGTCTTCATCAGGTTAGTACGTGCTGCAGTGACAGGGCCACTTAGGTATAGTTTCAGGGAGACCTCATCCTTTGCTATTGGATTGCACACAGGAGTGGACTCAGTCCAAGCAATTCTCGTCAATCTGCTCTGTGCTAGGAGTGGCTGAATGAAGCCACTGAGATCTGGTTCTGGGCTTATCCTGACTGACTCCAAAATGTCGCTTGACCAATCACCCATTCCCGCAGGAAGACTGAGTCCCCACACTCACCGCTGGCCAGTGTAGATCTCTGAGCCAGTGCAGTTCTCCAGTATACTGCTCCACTCAGTGACCCCATCCTCCCACCTAGGCCCTCGGGCTTGCCAACCCCCAACTTCACCATGACCATGTGTCTTCAGATTTCAGTGGCATTTCACACACAGTGGGACTGACTCCAGTGATAGCATGTCTGGCTACAGCCTTCTGTCCACATTTTTCTTTTTTTTTTTTTCACTTTAGTTTCTTCCTGGGTCAAAAGGATTCATCTCTTCCTGTCTGGTCTTCTCCAGGCTGCTGTATTCCATCATCTGAACTGTTTCTCTCAGAGAGGCTTTTTTACTTTGCTGCTTATTGATCCACCATCTTTCCAGCATCAAGAGGTTTTTTTTTAGTGCTATTGGTGTGTTCATTGTAGTTCACATAAGAATTATTTAGGTTTTATAAACAAGTACACAACTGATGTGAAAATGTTGGTATTTATTTGAAACATGGAATAGTATTAAGACTTTGATACCTTATTTTATTGATATTTTATGTTCCTATTAGCTAAACAATGCATGACATAATAAGAATCTCCTGAAAAAAATAGTTCAACCAGCCCTTGTCCAGTAAGTCCTACAGAATGGTCAGCAAAACAAAATACATGTGTTGTCAGTGTAAGTGATACATGTGTATAAATGTGCTGTTGTCGTGTTGCAGTCTGCCTTAGGTGTGATAATTGAAGCAAAGATTAACTTTTTGTAGAGGGTTATTGGTATTTTTATTGTCGCTTATATAGCAAGTTATTTTTGTTCTTGTTTTTTAGAATTTGTAAACCCAAACCAGTCAATGTTGAAAATTTTGAGTTTTTTTATAAATAATAAATGTTAAAAATGCAATACCTTATCTCTATGTTATCCTATTAAACACTCATAATAAATATAAATATAATAAAACTCATAAAATTAAAATTAATTAATGTATCAGTAGAAATTTTCTAAAAAAAATATTTATCATCAATAGAAACATTCTAAAGAATAAACTCCTATGGTTATGCTGCTTTCTGACAAAAATGTGTTAGCTCTAAATTACTGAGCTCAGCCTGGTCAGTCTCCTGCTCTCCATACATGCAGTGTGTTCCTTTCTCACTGTTGCAATGATTTGTTCATAAAATTTTCTTCTTCCATTCAAGATTGTATCTTAAACATCTTTGTTCCCCCAGCATTTGGAATAGAAACAAGTACCACTATAAAAGTTTTGAAAAGGCAAATATTCTCCGATGCTGCTGTGGCCAGCTTCTATTGGGTGTTATTTGGGAGTCATGTCCTACATTTTATGGTGAACCAAGTACTGTAAAAAAGATTTAGCCACTTCCTTAGCAGTGGTTTATCTCATCCTTAAAGAAAACCAGAATGAGTTTTTAAATAAAATGATTGAAAAGGTACACTGAATCTCCAATTTAATTATTTCAGTTCCTGCAAAAAGGTCTTTCAGAGAGGCTGCTGTGTGGTAAAAATGTGATAAAGTTCTAATACATTCTTAAAAATTGTAAATTAATTTATAAATTTCCATTCGCAGTTGAAGCTGCTGCTTTCACATATGAAAACTCATAATGTTGCCTTCTATTTATTTACTACCTTTGCATCTAGAGTTTAAGCTAGTACTTAATCTTCTTCTAGAAGCTTCCAGAGGCATTTGGTACATATAAGGAAATATGCCCATTTTACTGCCTTGGTGTGAACTGCAGACCCAACTTGTCAAATTCTGACCTTGGTTCTGATCTTACATTTCTCTCTGTTTTTGTGTTTCTCCAGGCTGACCACTGCTCTGACTGTTTCTGGTAGTAGCCTACTTGCCCTCCCTTCCATATACTCCTATCATTATTTTTTCCTTTCCCTCTGAATGGTCATTACTTCTAGAAATTTCTTCTCATTTGTCCTAGGGACTCTGAGACCTAACCTCTCTTTCCTTAGAGAACTTGTTGGTCATGTTTTAATGGCACTTCTGCCTTTTCACTTTGCATTAAAGATGCATCTATATCTGTATCTGTCTCTGTCTCTGTATCTATTATCTATTATCTATTATCTATCTATATTCCTCTCTTCTCAGCTAGGTGAAAATTTTGAGGAAAGTGTTATGGACATTTTATCTCTAAGTGCCCAGCATGATTCCTTGAATATAGCTTATTCTCAGTAATTACTTGTTCAAAATAATTATTAAAATTAATTCAAATAATGTCATGTCATCTTCACTAAGTATTGATGAAATATTTACAAATAGTTCATAATCACAATAACAGTAGAACGGGGTTTGAACAAGGGCAGTTCATTCCATTTTGAAATCCCCTA